GAATTTCAAAGTACACTTAAATTTAGCCAAATATGATCAGCTTCAACCTAAAAACTGCAGAAAGAATCAGAAGAAAATGGTATAACACAAAAGATGTGGTTTTTAACAGCAAGGGGAGAGCTGCCAATAAACCAGAAAAAAGCAGGAGTCACTTAGGGCTTTTCCAACCAGGGAGCAGAGGCCAAGCCCTGAGCTCTGCGCTTGAGAAGGGACGCGTGTGGCTGAAGACGGACACGTCCCACTTGGCCCTCTCCACCTCAGCTCCCCTGGACTGTCCCTGCCCCCAAACCCCGCCCGCCTCACCGATCCCCCTCACTCCCACCACGCAGCTCCGGAGGGATCTACTCGGGGGCCCCCAGGCCAGGGGGCTGCTGGCCAGGCCACCAAAGCAGCCGGGTGCCGGCCGATGCCGTTTACAGGCTCGCTGTGGATGGGGTAGTCAGGCCAGGGGGGAACACTGAGACTATCTTGCTTGGCTTTCTCGTTAGCACAGACCAACTATCTTGTATTTCACCTTCTCTAATATTCTTATGCATATTAATAAATTGGATGCCTCACTGCAGAGGGGCAGGATGTTTTAGCCCGCGAGATGCTTGTTTCTCACCTGGCCCAGGCCTATCTCTTACGCGGGAGAATGCTTTCTGAGTGCCGGTCAAAAAAACCTGGTGGCTTTTCTCCCATTGCCAGTGAATCCTCTGCTTTAGGACAAAACAGCACTTCAGCCAGTCCTAAAGTGTCCCTTTTACTGGTGATGAAGCGAGACAGTCCAAGGACGGAGCTGACCGTAGGGACTGAAATCCTCTCTGGCCCCGAAAGGCAAAGGGCTCTGCTGCTGACTTCCAGAACAATATGCAAAATACCCTAAAATCACCCTCTGCTTTGCCTGGTCCCTGCCTTCTCTTTAGTGTTCCCTCCCCCGCCTTGCAGAGCACACCACACTCCCCCAGACTGGAAGGGTCACCGTTTGAAGGGACTGGGTTCCTCTCTATACCGTACATCAGACCTCCTTCACAGGCAGAAACGGGAGAAGGACGCTTAACGAGAAACACGGTGGTTTTGTAATTACATCCGTGAGCCAAACAAAAGCCCAGGGCTGTAAACCTGTATGACTCCCTGTAACCCGGCTGTGAAAACGCCGGCCCAGGGTGACTGCCTGTCCCGTTTGCTTGCCTGGGGAAAGCTCCTTACCCTGCGCTTGTGCCAAAGGGAGGCATTACTTGCAGGCAGCGTGTCAGATTTGGGCTCTGATGTCTTAACCTTCAAAAATATTTACTACAAACACAACACTCCTCACACCCAAGGGGTCAAACTACAGTAGTTGTGAACAATGCAGCTCTGCACCCTTGTGTTTGGATTCTCATCATGTTGCATTTAATGTTGATCTTTTGCCCAGAATTTAAATGAAGACAGAGTTTCTGTTTATATCTTTAAGTGAAGTCTGGTTTGGGCTCCATTAGCATTTCAGCTCCCGAGGGGTCATCAATCCAACTGAAACGATACATGTGCGTTTCAGGTCACATCTGTGAAGGAGAACGTGCCCTACCCAGATCAAGGCACCCCATTAAAGTCTGCAGCCCATATGTGCGTCTGTTAACGAGCACCAAGGCAGCACATGAAAGCAGCAGCTCTGAGCCGGCTCAGTATGAAAATGAGCAGAGCATCATCTCTGCTCGCAGACCCAAAGGCGACGGTGGCCTTCGCCGACGTCTGGGGGCAGCTCTCCCACCACGGCAGCACAGCTCCCGCACATCCTGCCCGTTACAACTGCCAGGCGCCGCGCTCAGGCATCGGTCTGGCTGCACGTTCTCCGTCGGAAACGGCTACAACCGATAACACCATCCTACTTGGTCACTGTTTTGCTCAGAAGAAACGTGAGAATGTGTGAGCCCAAACTAACAGGTTTCCAACACCAGGACGCTGCCTGCTTTGCTTCTTCCCCGAGGTATCCCAATTCAGCATTAGCTTTGAGCAGAAATCCTTTCAGCCTGGGTTACGGGGTGCTCTGTGCCAGAAAGCTGCTGCAGTTTCACCCCCTCACTGGGTAGCCAAGCTTTGGGCAGTGAAGAGCTGCTCGGAGTTTCCTGCAGGGAGATGATGCCCAATCCTGGCGGCTCCACCACGCGCCCGCTGAGCAGCCACACGCCCACCAGCCTGTCAGCAGGGTTTCCCGCCCAGGCCAGCACGCCCGGGGATGCAGCGAGGTGCGGAGGCTGGTGGGCTCGCGGGACAGCACACCCCGGAATTCCATAGACAGCTCCACTTCAGGTCGGTGGTGCCGCTGAAGGCCAGCCAGGCCCCCGGCATCTGCCAGCGGGGCAGCGTGGGGAGCAGAGGGGAAACTGCCATGGAACCCCCAATACCCCGAAGGCTGGCTATGTACAGGCCACGTGAGCTGCGGCGGTGCCCACAGTGTCATGGGGAGCTCAGCACAGGGTGGCAGAGGACCCAGGACTTTATCAGAGGTGCTAATGAACTTCCTCCTCTTGGAGAAGGCCCTTCCCAACCCATGATGCACAGTACTTCCATGTACGAGCAGACGGGACAGACGAGATGCCCCAAGAGAGAACAGTGAGGGCTGATGGTGGCCCACAGTCCAACGTGCCCGAGAACCACCACCCTGAGTCTCACCTCAGGCCTCAGGATAACCGAGTCCCCGAGGCACAGCAGCCACTTCAACTCTTCCAGGGGTTCTAAGAAACACAGGAGAGCCTTTCGTGAAGGCAAACACTTGTTTCCTGTTAGAAACAGCTTAACTCAGGCCATCATTTAGTTTCTCTTCACTCTGTACTGGTGGGAAGCATGGACATCACCTTCTTAATATAAGGATGGGGAGAACATAAGGAAAGAAGGACATCGCCTTCCTACGCTGTAAGTAAAATACAGGCCCTAAAATCTTTCACTAAGTTATACAAGCCTTACATAAACTTCCCGAGGTTGGAAGTCCCCTGCATACCCCTCCCGAAAGACAGCAGGAGCTCCCGGTTCTAGGAGCTCCACCTGCAGGCGCTGGGCGCAGGGCCACAGCCCGCCCTGCCCGAGCACGGCCCACCTCGTCTCCAAAGAGGGCAAGAAGCCACCAGCCCCTGTGCCCCCGCCCGGCGCCCCGCCGAGCCGGCCGGCCCCGCTCTGCTGGGCAAGGGCCGCGCTCCCGCCGCTGGGGAGGAGGGGGCGCGGGTCACACCGTGTCTCTCCTGCAGCAAGGAGGAACGCGGGAGAGGAGCTCACGGAGGAGCAAGAGGCTCCTCACGGCCAGGACACACGTGAAAACGCGGCCAGTCGCCCCTGGGGGCTCGCGGCCGGGCAGTCACGAACAGATCTGCTCAGTCCTCTCGGACCTAACCCGAGCCAGCTCGGCTGTGTGCTTACCCCGGTGCCCCCTCAGCCATTTTCGACTGTGGTCAGAATTAACACACAAGGACTGTCCAAAAGCAGGTTTTATCTGCAAACTGATTCCACATGCTGCCGTTTCCCACATCCAAGCAACTCAAAAAGCTTTTAGTGAAAAAAGAAGTGAAGGGAGAAGGGAGAAAGAAGGGAGGGAGCTGTCTTACCTTGGTACTGGGACGGAGACTCTGACGGGCGGCTGTACTTGTGCTTTTTACCATCTTTCCAGTCTATGGCTGAGACAAGAAACAAAGCATTTGTGTCAGTGAGAGAAGCCACTAACACACTCCTTAACGTTATCTGCTCAGGTCACCTGCTTTACAGGCACTTCAGAGGAGAGGGGTGACCTCCTTGTCCTCCCTGTCATGCCCCCAGGTAACATGGATCATTTCTCTAAATCTACGGGGTATGCCCCCTTCCTCCACACAGCTCAAGAGAGGACCTGACATAAGGCTCCCGCATTTGCAGGTTCTTAGCCTCTGCCTAGTCCTCACCAACTAGTGTTCTCCCTCAATGGCAAGCAATAACGTAAAAAGCAGCAAACTGCTAGAGCTTCATCATTTTAGCCAGGTGGAGAGGTGGCAAGGCTCGAGAGGAACAAACATGAAAGCCACTAAAAATGGCTCACGTGGGTCTTGCATCCTGAGAAGCAGACCCTGAACCGCCCCTGGTTTATCACCTCCAGGGTTTGGCAGCTGGCCTTACTCACACAAACAGGCTTGACCCTCTCTGGCGACGGGGAGAGGACTTCTCCGAAAACCTGCACCACTGCCCTTTCCCTGCACACCACCAGCTTACCACCCCGTGTCCTGCCCAGCTCGTAGGAGAGCACAGCAGAGCAGCACCAGTTCTGAAGAGCATCTCACCCAAGTTGTCTTTGCCCACAACAGCTCCGGGCCTCAGAGTTACAAAAAACCCAAAGCTCCCAAGACAGCTCTGGAAAGCAACAGAGCAAGAAGTGGGGGCTGCCCACCCCAGCCTCCAGCAGCCCCCAGCCCAACGGAGGGAGGCCAGAGCAGCGTGGCCCAGCAGAGCTCACCCTGCGCGAGCCCCTCCACACGCTGCGGCCTGACCGACGCGCCCCGGGAGCGCTGCTGCGGTCCAGCTCGTTCACTTTACAAAGCATTTGCAGGGCTATTACAAACAACAGCTCGGTACTGCTCTACGAAACACACCTTGCCCCCACAAAAAGCAGTTCCTTGCAAAAGGAAGAAAAAAGAAAACAGGAAAAGTTTTGAAATCTCCTGACAGGTACCTGAAAGAGCCAGGCCGTGAGCTGCTGCTAGAGTGGCCTGGTGGGTCTTAAGATGTCTGAAATGGCTTTTGGAGCATTATTTTTGCAATCTTCCCTTCCTGACATATTCTTTTCAGTACAATGGACAGGAGGACAGCATGTAGGTTTTATCCCTTAAATGAACACGAAGGACATATGGAGCGTGGCCACAGCATCGCTAGACAAGGACCAGACAAAAAGCCTCCTTGGAGAGACACAAATGAATGAAAAGGATGGAAGGACACCCTTCCTATAAATGTGTTCCCAAGTATTCTGCCATCTCCTTAAGAAAGCAAGAATAAAGGACGAAGTATTTAAGTCAGAAGTAAAAAAGCTCCCCAGGACGGATAACATTCCTCTCAGTGTCGCAGGATACCTCCCTAATAGCATCCCTGCACTCAAAGTATCCTCTCACCATCCTCTGCAGGTAAAGTCACATTTTATTCGTAACCTTTAACATGCAAAAATCCTCATTAAGCAGGCTGCAAAAACAGCAGAGAGGGAAAGAAACACAAGAATTTCTGCAGGCAAATAAAGAAAAAGCGAAAGTTCAATGCATTATTAAAAAAGCAGGTAAGTAGGACAGAAACCCACGTGCGCACAACGCAGGTGTTGCTTCTGCAACCCGCGGCACGGCGTTCACAGCACAGGTCACGCAGCCACGCTGGCTGGAGGCACCCTGCTCCACGAGGCGGAGAGGACAAGCTGTGTGCGAGGCTAAATGCAGCCAGCCCGGTCTGCAGCCACGCTGCTGACTAATCAACCTGCCTCTTTTATGACCGAGCCCTCCAGCTGCCTCGCAGCAGGCTCTCCCCATTCGCTGCTTTCCTTCATTTATTTTCACTTCATTAAAGGACAAGCGGCGCTCGGAAGAGGATAATGCTTCTGTAAGATGAACCACCAGAGAAGCAAAGGAGACGTTCAAAAAAAAATAAAGGGAGGAGAGAAATGGAGCGTAGAGCTCTCCTGCAATAAACCTCGGGAGCGTGCGGCAGATGTGAACAAAGGACTGCGGAGGATGCTCCATCCTCCGCGCCGCTCCCTTCCCCCACCCTCCGAACCGCCCGGGATGAGATCACTCCAGTCGAACGCCCAGGCACGGCACAACGCTGAAGGAAACTGATATTTTGGTGAGGGCCGAGCAGCCCGAGCAGCCCCGCTGCAGGCAGCCCCGCTGCAGGCA